GAAAAACACATGCTGTTTGCATTTACATTTCATATAATCATAATGGTTCAATATCAGTGATCAAAATACAATCTGTAGACAAGCAATATTCATGAAATGACACAACAACTGCTGAAACATTATAAGCTTTTAATTATGTTGTAAAGCCCTTGTTACATTTGAGCTATGCCTGTAATCATCTTGATTAGCATTTGGAAGTGTGTGCCATAGAATGTAAATGATCCTCTGGGTACTCTATTTCCTGGTGCTTCCTTTTTAAATCATCTGTAAGAATGTATTTAAACATAAGCAGATGAGTTAAGTTACAAAAAGTGCATGTATAAATATGTAATCTATCTATAAGGGCATGTAAGATCTAATTACTTTACAGCTATTACAACTACTGATATGTACAGTACCAATAACTATTTTTTTGCTACATTTTCTATTTCATTATCTTGAGTAGGAATATATTTCACATTTCTGGAACAAATAAAGGGACATTTTATACTTTGCCCACAACAGAATAACACAGTAGTAATGGTAAGGCAAACATATTTGGTGGTACACATGGTATATTTCACATATTGCCCATTCCTTTGCTTAAACCATGAAAATACAGGGTTCTTAGTGATGGGTTAGGAAAAGTAAAATATGAAAATGTGATGACAACAAAGTTTGTTTTCACACCAATGATATTCTTTCATGTTATTGTGGGATAGAGTAGAAGAAAAATTGCTCGCGATGGAAGCCACTGCAGTCTATTGAGGTGCCGCCGTGGTGAATGGAAACCTTCCAGTCATCCCACTGGCCCTCGTTTCCATTATCTTAAGACCCAGGCTGCTATTATCATTCCTCAATAAGACTATAATGAGAAGCTGGGGTAAAACCAACAAGCGGATAAGGTAGACCTGCATATAAACTGCTCTGATCTGGACCAGTCGAAACCATTTTCTCATACAATGTACATAATGCTTTCAGTGAGCAACTGAGTAAGTGATTAAGTGTGCGAGTAAAAACTGTGTGTTGAGATTTAAAATCTACTCATCTTTAAGTAAGTAGAAGGTATTAAGTTCCCCTCTAGGTCATATGAGCCGTGTCATTTTTATGGCCATGTCAATAAACAGCAGTCTGAGGCCTCTCAAGCACAGTTAAATCTGGAGGGAGAAATTCTGATATGAATTCAACAGAGTTGCATTGAGAAGGAGAAAACCTCACCAAACATTGGAGCTACCATTTTCACTGGGGGCCCAATAAGAGTGGCCACTTTTACTGGATATTTTCCAATGTTCTCCTAATTGTGTCTACTCGACATAATCCAGCCCAAGGCTCCCCCAATATCCATAACCATAACCACTTCCCTTCGACCCACGTTCACGCTCCATGTCAATAAGAGCAGGAATGCGTTAAAACAGAATCTATCCTCCTGCAGCCCCACATCACTATCAATAGCTGCCTTTCAGTCCGCACGCGCTGCTAGTATTGTCACAGGGTGGGCTGCACTTTGAGGCTCCTTACAGGACTTCTAAAAACCTGATACATGCACACGGTGTGGTGATGTGTGTGTATATGTACAGTATATATGTTATGACCCAGGTCCTGCCCTATGACGTATTGCAACATATAGTGCAGACTCTGTGTAGTCTGCAGCTCCCTAAGTGAGAGAGAAAGCAACCACAAACTGGCTTGGGATAATATCCCAGTGTAAAACCACAGTCACAATAATTCCTTCAATAACTACTCTATATAATATTCTGACTCTGCAAAACACAGAGTTACTTCTTTGTATTTGACTTCAAACATACGTTTTAAAAAATGTGTTTAAGTAAGGTATTTGCAGTAAGACACTAAGGATAACATAAAAGGAAAATAGAAAATATGTGTTTAAAATTGAGTGTTCATCTGGGAGGGGGGCATATAAAGGTTTAAGGTGGCTACGCTGAAACAGTAGTTGTGCACAAGAGACTTAACAATTTTACTTGACAGGCCACAGCGGCTTTATTAAAACATACTGCGATTTAAAAAAGCAATGGGTTCTAGGTAATGTGTGTCTGAGCGCGTAAGTGAATGAGTTAACTTTGCTGTTCATGTTTGCCCTTTAGCATGCGTGAAGCAATGAGAGCGCAGAAAAGGGGAGCCACCAGTGTCCGACTGGGGGCCACCTCCGTTTCCAGCAACAATTCTCTTTTTTTCCAGCTGGCTGGGTCTAGTTTGTATGGCCTAGCTGGAACCCTTTCAATTCTGTCCCACTTGTCCCCGTGCTGAGCTCCCTGCTCCAGGCTTGCCTGCCACCCCATGAATACCAAGCAGGCATACACACACATGCGTACATACACACACCAAATACAAGCTGGGTCTCTTTCTGCATAGTTGTATTAGGTCAGTCTTCAAGCCTGGCAACCCACCCTCCTCTGTCTGCACATGCATGTGTGTATACAGTCTGTTTTTGGATGTGTGTTTGATGTGAGTGTTTGATGTAGAGTCATTCAGGCTCTGTAATGTTCCTTCACAACTTTAGAAAAAAGGCCCACACCAGTGCTTTTGCATGTTTAAGACCATTAACTACAAATTACTTTCATTTTATGTTACTGCCAAACAGATTTTCCACCTTCCAGGCAGACATTTGTTTCATTTCATTCTGGTAAAATGTGAAACTTTACTTGCAGAGTCTGGCAATAATGAACAGTACTGGACAGACAAGAACTACAATTCCAGTAATGTGACTTCAAATTTGAATTAAGTAATTACATTAGAGTTAGTTATCCCAGTAATGACCCATTGTGTTATGTCAACTGCAGGAAGTTTAGCAACCATTGATGTGGAAGCTAAATGGGATCCTATAAAGAATAAAGAATCAAAATGTTCGATTTGATTGTTTGGTTGTCTGCTTTGAATGCTCGTTAAAGTAAAATGGCCTTTTTCACTAAGTCACCACAATAACACCAAACCCTAGTCTTTGAAAATTACAAATATATATAGTTACAATATTTCATTGCAAGACCGCACTCTACATTAGGTCAAATAAAATATCAAGTTGATGTTTAATCCACTAACAGCTTGCACACTGGCTTCTACAGCATTGTCTTAAACTTTTAGTCCAGTTCTGGGAACAGTTCCAGTGTAGACCTGTCCACAAGTTGTCCCACTGCAGACATGTGGGAACAACTGCACCCTACATTACCCTATCAACATTTGGAGCATTGTTCTTCCCTTTTCTGGTCCCATTTTTAACACAATTTATGAAAGTCCAACTGAGTAACTCGAGGTTCCAAGAGGATATGTTTATAAAGACTCATCTGTAACCAGTTACAGACAAATAAAAGAGATAGAAAGAGGTAGGGATGAGGATTTGAGTGACACAGATTGGGAGAATAAACAGCAAAAGGAGACTTTCTGACACCTCTGGGAATGCCGTCATATATTCAGTAAAGGAGGCCAATAAAGTTAGGGGAAGTATGGTGTACAGAACTGTCCAGCTCGCGCCCAGGGGAGAGATATGTATTAGTGCTCTTATAGATTGATTTAAAAACATTGAATACACTGCGACTACAACCGTTCCTAAAAGTTAGAGGGAGGGAGGGAGATGCAATGGGGACTTAATGCTAGTGAAAATGTTCCTCTAGATGATGTACATAAATCTCTGCTGATCACCTTCTGCTCCTTGGTGTATGACTCATGTTACTTTACACCCACATGCATGACCTCACCTTATAAAAAGAAAGTAGGCTTCTGCTTAATATGTGAAGATAAAGATCACAGTGTTCGGTATTTACCATAAAAAAACAGATTTAAGATGGTATCTCAAATAAAGCAAAGGACTGACAAGCTAACAGAACTACTACACATCTTTTGTGTACTACAATACTGTATGCAGGGATATGTCGATGTAAAGAAACATCTATTACAGAGATTCGATCTCAAGTTTACACACATAGACTTTTGTGTTTAACAAAACTGTTTAAAGAGGCCCTATTATGCTTTTGGTTTGACCCTTTCCTGCAGTGTGTAATATAAGTTACTGTGCATGTAAATGGTCTGCAAAGGTTAAACTCCCTAGGTTCCCTCACACTCACTTAAAACATCAAAGGAATCATAAAATAATAAATGACCACACAAGCCACATGATAAGAAGTGCTAAAAACACAATAATAACATAGGATACAATAGAATAAAATAAAAGCACACAGGTTACCCAAACGCCTGCTCAAACAGGAATGTCTTTAAATTACTTTTGAAAGAGTCAACAGAGTCTGCGGACCGTGGGTGAGCGGTCAGAGCGTTCCATAGCTTAGGAGTAACGGCCTCGATCACCACAGGTCTTAAGGTGAGTACGTGGGACAGACAGTAGACTGAGCATATGTGACCTGAGAGAGCGAGCTGATGTATACAGATGAATTAGGTTGTGATGGGCTAAGGGTGGGATATTTCTAAATGCTTGACCAATGCTACCTGTTGATGTAACTGCAGTATTCAGTATTATGACATATCTGGCAGTTATCCATAAAAGTATCTTTGTATTTTGAACATCCAAACTAAAATGTTATAAAACACAAGGGGTGTGGTAGTACTCACAGCATGTCAGTCCAGCAAATCACCATTTTATCCACTACTTCCTGTATTTTCATCATGGTAAATGTGGAATTTATAATATCCCCCTGCAGTCAAAACCTAAACAACAATGGTGACTTTGAGTTGCCTTGCTTTTTTGGAAAATTAGTCAATCTCTAGCCTCAGCTCAGCCTGCATTTATTTGGGGAGGGGGACTGTTGTTTTTTTTGTATAAACATTGTTTTTCTCTGAATAGTTTCAACCCTGTGCAAACATTAGGGCTGTGTGCCGGGTTCTTTGTTGCACCGATGGAAAAAAAAAAATAGCTCAGAACCCACAAGCAGCCTGTAAAACCCTTCCAATCAATACAGTGAACATTGCCAAAGTATATGTGTAAAACAAAGATGTTAAACAAAAAGGTTTGGACGTTCTTTGCTTTTGCCATTAAAGCTGCTTTTTCAGTGTGTACTCACCGTGGCGGTGATGAGTGGACCATGGAGCTGTGCGTAGAGCAGGGCCTCATTAACGTGGTCCCTGGCCCCCAGAAGGGCTAGTTCCAGACTGTGGTGTCCCGCCATGGCGTGGGTCAGTTGCTCCAACAGGCTGGTGTACCTCCTCCAAGGCTGATCCAGCTCCGACACGCTGGCCAAACAGCCCCGCATTACATTCAGACAGTATCCCACGCAGGGCTTGATGAGCGTCAGTCCCCTGCAGTGGGAGCAGTACACCATCTTCACCAGGCCCTTCACACACTCTTTGCTCATGCTGACATGTTCGGTGGCATTCATCACCTCCAGACCCTCCTCCAGGGCCAGGCCGAGCTGTCTCCCGGCTCCCAACGCCTCTGCCATTTCCTGGGCCATGACGGCTGGATGACTCCCGAAAGGGTTGACATCCTGCCTGATCATACGGAGACAGTCGCCCATTTCAATGCCCACCATCATGTTGCCTTCGATGCCTGGATTGATGAGCCTTGTGTAGACGAGTGGGAAGAGGTTGTTGAAGAATTGGTGAACTGACGCTTCCACTGACACGTTGGCCCCACGGAGGTAGAGGGACAGTGAGGCGAAGAGCTGGTTAACATGGGGCAGAGCATGGTGGGACAGGGATGGGTAGGTTCCCTCTAACAGAGAGCTCAGGTGGCCCTGGGAGAAGGATAGCAGGTACTGGAACATGTCTGCAAGAAGAGAAAATATAGAAACACAGAGATTAGAGAAAGAAGGAAATACAAGGTTGGATTGACATTTCATTGGAGAAAAATATTGAAAATCCTTGATGACGTGATTTACAAGTTCTCCATGAAATAATGATCATGGCATCAAAATGCAAACACATATCCAACCCTGGCCCCTAACCACTTAAGCTTGGCTTGAGTGCATCAGTAAGTTGGGTTGAGAAAAAAGTGTCAAGTTTTCCTATAATGTGGATGGATGTTATTTTGTATGATGTCATCACCTATATGTCTTAAAGAGAATGTATGCCTGTCTACAGAATAATAGAGAGAGGCTGGGGGGGATAGAGAGAGAGAGAAAGAGATTTGCATTTTCTGTGGCAAATAAAGTTTATTCCAGATTCTCCATGAGCTTTTGACAGCCACCAGGCTTCCAGTTCTTATGTTGTCATTTCCTGGTGAGCAAAAGAAGCTGTAATGCCTTACAGCTTCACGTCAATGATGTTAGTGCAGAGGCTGATTAGTGCCAAAGAAGTGCCACTACACACTTAGCAAGTTACTGTTACAGGGTGTAAGAGGTTGAAGCAAAGGGCAGTGGGAAAAAGAAAGACTAGAAATTTAGAAAAACAGCTTGTCTCTTTTTCCCAGTAATTTGTTGTCCTTTTTTCTCCAAATATACCCCATAGCCCATCCCTATTTCATTGCTCAGTGATATGTTTTTCCTTGAAGAGGGGACTTTAAGAAAGTCATGGATATATATTTGATTAGTTTCATCAAAAAAGATCACAGGAACATCAAAATGTGTGATCTTGCTTATATTACCCACCATCTTCTTCACTACCCTTCTATCCTCAATTATTTAATAACCCTCCCCACAATATGTGTGTGTGTGTGTGTGTGTGTGTGTGTGTGTGTGTGTGTGTGTGTGTGTGTGTGTGTGTGTGTGTGTGTGTGTGTGTGTGTACTGGACACAACACTCTCCTCTGGGGTGTGATGTCAGCTTATAAGCATGACCGAACATGAAGGAGCAGTGGCAACTGTACAGAAATTGAGACAGGAAGGGTGGACAAACCACCCACCCACCCCCCCACACACACAAACACACACACTGTACATACATCCATAAAATGTGGACGGTGTTTGACAATTGTACTGCTAACCAAATGTTACTAATCATTATGCCATTAACCATAACTGTTTGCTGACTTAAGATTAAAAAAAACTTTGATTGATGCTAACACTTAAATATTCATTAAGTCTACCTCTCGCATAGTGAATCTATATTTGCAGAGTGATTGGTACCAAATGTGTATATGTGTGTTAGTGTGTATGCCTGTGTGTTTCCAGCCCCTCCCAGCTCACAGACAGAAGGATAACAACAGTCATATACTCCTCAACAGCTGCACTAATATGGCCGCTGTCTGTGACACAGGGGGACTCCCCCACCGGCCAGCAAAAGGCACAACTCATTTATAATGCACCAGAGAGCTCCATCGTCATGATCAGACCTGCTCGCGCATGCATGACATTCGAAGTTTTAGCCTATGAGATGAGCTTTACAGATCGTGACAGCGTGCGACAGAAATAAAGCAGGCAGACAGGACAAGTAACGGTCTGTTAGGGATTATTACTGTAAAGCGAAGGGTGACAAGCGGTTGCCTGACTGAGACCCCAGGCGGCGGTGGATCAGGGGGGAAATGGGTGTGTACCGATCAGAGGGTCAGTGGTTCGTTTCCCAAACCCCTGCTGTCAGTCAATGTGTCTTGAGCGAGATACTCTACAGCAGGGGTGTCCGAAATACGGCCCGGGGGCCAAATGCGGCCCGCGGTCCATTTTGAAACGGCCCTCAGCTAATTCAAAAAGTATAATGTAGTATGGCCCACAAATGAACTTGTGCTTGTCATATATTGTACTTCTTAAATACAAATGTAAAGATATACTACATAGCTCACTTTTCATATAAATTCTGTCAATTAAAGTTGGAAAAAATGTCAAACAAATCGTAGTTGAATAAAAAAAGCCCAATATCATTTCGTAAAAAACTTTAAATCTACCCTTCATATTTCCTCTTTTCATAAGCAATCTGAAGCTCCTGTTTTAAGGAATGAGACGTCAACACAATAAAGTAAACCCTCTGGAGAGCTGTGATGTAGGCTGGTGTGTTTTTTAAAGCATTTTCAAGTATAAAGCATCATTGACCCACATTTGATTGATTTTGCTGACCTATAACTTACCTTATGAGCCTATAAACCTCTAGTGAGGGGCCCAGCCCTTCCTATATTTTTCTGTATGTGGCATACAGTGAAAAAGGTTTGGACACCCCTGCTCTACAGCATTGAAGTGGATGTAAGCCGCTTTGGATAAAACAGTCAGCTAAATGACATGTAATGTAATGTGAAGTTCCAAGATGACCAGCTGAAAACAACACAAAAAGAGGAAAAAAACTGAGCAAAAAAAAGATTAGATTTGCAGAGAAGAAACAGTTTCTTTTCCAGTCAGTGTTTTCTTTCCGAAGCCCGAGGGGCTGCAGAGTTGGTATCAGTGGGGGGTCCACATGCTTGCCTTCCAGTCAGACATTTACACCACAAGATGTACCCACAAGCTGAGGTTACACTGCATTACATAATGTTATTATTACATTATCAAGCTCAGAAATATCATGGTTTAATCTTACTCTCTTTGAGCAGGCCAAAACAAAACTACTCTATAAGAAAATCAAGTTTTCTCAAAAAGACTCAATAATATTTCTTATGCTTCTCAATAGCACCATGACAGGATATTTCAAAGAGTTTCTAACAGGATCATTAAATCCTCAAGACATTCCATACTTGTTAAAAAATCATATTCTTATTTGCCAAGAGAATGACACGGAGAGAGAACACGAAAGAGGAAAAAAGGGGAGGGTGGGAGACTGCCAGGAAAAATGGAATAAAAAGAAGCGACTGAACTCTTGAACAAGTAAAAAGAACTACTGTAAAAGTGGACTCCACCTTGAGAACATGCTCTGACATCTGGATTCATTTGGCCCCTGGGTCCGGAGCACTTCCCTGTGTCTCCATGGCTGTTACTTCAAACATGTCCTTCTCTGAATATACAAAAGAAGAACCAGAATGCACCTTTCTTCCTCTCTACACTTCCTCTAACAAACAAAAAACCATATCCCATGTTTCATTCATTTTCAACATCATGATATGTTCTGTTCTCAATCATCCCACACTCAAAGGTATCCGGTTTCTCATTTTGCGATAAATCAAGTACAGTTGTTGTGGTTTTCTGTCCAGTTTCCAGTTCTGGGAAACATGGTGATAACAAAAAACAAGAAACCAGCAGCTTTTAAAGCCCTAACTACGATTGCATGATATTCAATTGGGTTTTATTGTTCTGGCGGACCACAGTGTCTGAATCTGAATCAACCACACTCCATTCAGACACACAGTGGTGGGTGGCTATCATTATAATTTCACATACTCCCATGGGTAATCCTTTTGGGAAATGAAGTCTGGCTGGATTGAGGCTGTTTTGCATGGAGCAATTATCTTTAATTTCCAAGGAAGTTCTCAAAACTCACTGACATTCAAAACACTAATTGTCAAGATAACTATACAGGAATAAAGGAAGAGGCTTGCTTTGTCTGTGGCCCTGTGGGGTTAATCTGACATGGGATAAACAAGGTATTAAAACGGATAAAAAAGCAACAGTGGCAAAGCAGAGGAGGCCTTTGTCCTGCAGGGGCCTACACTGTATTTTGACTCTGGCTAGGGGTATTATACCGTATCTTTCCTCCAATGCTATGCCAAGGCCACTCTCTGAGATCACTGGGTTCAATCATAAGAAGCTATTTCCACTTTTCCTTCTGCATGGCAACCCAATGGTTTACTGGCACAATTAGTGTTGCCATGGTGACGCTGCCAAAATCACTGAGACAAAATAAGCTCAGTGGCAGCTCTGTGATTTAAGTCACAACTATAGTGTTTTCCGCCTTTGCTACCCAGCAGTCCCTGATGTCTAAGCCACTCTCACACTGAGAGACATGCATATATGCGTGAGTACTTAACACAGTCTGAGTAGGTATTTAAGGCCAAGGCTTCATTTGTTGCCAAATCGCTGCATAGACAGCCATGTGGCACCAGACAGTTAAACATGCTAAATGTGCATTCAGGGGTTGGTTTGAAAAACAGACTGTACTGTATGATGGGAAGTAGAAGTGGTAGTACTAGTAATAGAATAGGATGAAGTTATTGTAATTGTAGTGGTTGCGGCAAGTTACTTATTAATTAATGTATAGCCCCTATGTGTAGCATTTGAGCATTTCTGACTTTGGTGACTCCTAGTGGTTATATCAAAAATACATTGTGGAGACAGAAACACCTTTAACTCCAGAGCAACTAAACATTTAATCAGATTCATGTGTGCAGTTTTTACAGTATGGCAGTCCAAAATATTCACAGAGAAATATTTGTTGGATCCATTCTACTGACCAATATGAGTCCACCTATGTGACTTCTGTAAATATTCTGGAAATGTATTTTCTCCCTTTAGATAAAACATGTTTTTGAATGTGTCCTATGGTTTAGAAAGTCGTGACATTTACTTGTTGAAATGGTCCATCAAGTTCCAATTGTAATGCAATTAAGCCTTGATCTTTTTAATACACAGCAAAAGTAACAAATCATTAACAATTATGAACCCTACTTAAAGGTGGGGTAGGTAAGTTTGAGAAACCGGCTCGAGATACACTTTTTGTTATATTCCATGGAATGCTCTTAACATCCCGATAGCAATGAATATCTTAAGTGCTTTGACAAAAAATCCATGTGTAAACTATGGTTAGCTTTATCAGATGATTGGTCAAATGTAAAAACAAAGTGTGGAGTGGATTTCTTATGAATCCAGATATTTTGATTGAGAAAATAGAAAACTGTTTGTGTGGCCCTGGAACCTTTACTGCCCTAAACCAGTTGCATATCCCTAAATTAGAGTGTTTAACTAGTTCTGTGCCATAAGGG